TTTCCATTACCATTTCCAGACAACTGCTATTCTACTTTTTTTCACACAGATTGGTTTACATTTTCCAAAATTTTATAAATCCAGTGACTGATGTCCTTATAAGAAGTCTATATGAAGACACAGAGAGATAGACAGGGAAGAAGGCAATAGGATGATGGAGGTAGATTTTGCAGTGATGCAGCTACAAGCCAAGTATGATGAGGACCACCAACAACTACCAGAAAGAAGCATGGGAGAGATTCTCCCTCAGAGCCTCAAGAAACAACCTTGTCAACACGTTGATTTTGGACTTCCAGTCTAAAAAAACTGAAAGAGGGGTGCCTGGGCAGCTCAGTCGGTTGAGTGCCTGACTCTTGATTTTGGCTCAGGTAGTGATCTCAGGATCATGGGATCCAGGCCCACATCAGGCTCCTCACTCAAGTGAGGGGTCTGCTGGAGGTTCTCTCTCTCCCTCTCCCTCCCCCTCTCCACACCTCTCTCTCTCACTCTCAAATAAATCAATCTTAAAAACACAAAAATAAAAAACTCTGAGGGAATAATTCGTGTTGATCTAAGCCACTCAGTTGTGGTCCTTGTTATGGTAGCTCTAGGAAATGAAGTAGTTATATGTTTTTTTTTAACTTTTCAAGACTGATGAACTGTTTCCCAAAGTGATCACACCATTTTACATTGCTATGAGCAGCGTGTAAGAGTTCCAGTTTCTCCTCATCCTTACTGACACTTAGTATGGTCAGCCTTTCTAATTTTAACCACTCTAATAGGCGTATAGCAGTATATCATTGTGGTTTAAATTTGCATTTCCCTAATGCCTAATGACCTTGAAAATCATTTCATATATTTTTTTTTCTATCTGAATATCTTCTTGGGTGAAGTGTATGTTCAAATCTTTCGCCTATTTGTTATTTGGATTGTGTGTTCTCTTATATGTTGTAGATACAAGTTCTCTATCAGATATACAATTTGCAAATATTTGCAAACCCAGTAGTGGTTTTCATTTTTATGTTCTTCACTGTATCTTTCAAGGTCAGCTAGGTATTTAAAGTGCCAGGTTAGATGCCACTTTTTCTTAGAAGCCTTTTCAGAGCTTCAAGCCTTGATGAGTGGACTTTCTAAGTACTTGTCGAATTTCAAATACATCCTTGTATCACAATAAGCATTGTATCCTGTTAGAATTGTTTGGTTACCAGTTTGTTTCTTTTCCTAGAATCTAAAGTTTGTGTTCATGGGCAAGGACTCATTATGCCCTATTATTTGTTATATCCTCTTCACCAGGACAAAGATTGACAGAGGCCTGCTTTGGGTAGTTTCTGCTTGGCTCTCCAGAATCACCGTCTAGAGTTCTCCACCTTGCTCTGTACTCTGGGAAGCTGACTTCAGTGGGCCCCTTGTCCACAGACTTCTGGCTGGGTTTGTCTGGTGAGAAAAGATCAGAGGGGGAAGAAGATAGAGCAGACTATTTACTCTCAGCTCCCTCTCTGACAGCTTCAGTTCGGTAGTAGTTGCTGTCCTGTGCTGCTGGATGTTCCCTGTCTACAGGTATAGCTCTCACAAGGATCCTGTGAGTACTCCCTGCCCTTGATTTTTTAGTCCCTGGTGTAGCAATAACAGATTCCAGCACTTGCTGGAAACTAGGTCTTCACCACTCTGTTTTGGTTCCAATTCACACTGTCCATACCTTTATAGCTCTTTCATTAAATCTTCACTATGATTCAGGGCCTCACCTCTTTTTCTTGCTAAGACCCTGATTCCCTGCACAAAAAAAAAAAAAATTGTTAATTTTGACCCTCACCATAACCCATACCTTAAGTGAGTTAAGTGAGTTTTAAATCCCCGAATTTTCTCTACTGTTTTCATTCAACATAATTCAGGTTCTAATATTTTTCTTGAGTTTCAAATGACTCCAAACACTATATTCCTTTTAACCTCATTCATACTTCCCCTCACTCACTCACTCATTCAGCAGAAACTTCTTGACAATTTACTAAGTACCAGGAACTGTGCCACCCTGCAGTTCCGCAAGGAACTCACATTCAAGTAAGAGATATGATCAAATAACTAATTCTCATTCAAAAGGATACATTGAGCAATGGGATATGTACAAAGGCCTGAAGGCACAGAGCTCTAGCCACCTCATTCCTGACTGAAGTCAGAAGACATCAATACAACAGGACTGGCCTTCCCACAAATGACCACTCTTGGTACTCCAGACTCTGTGCTAGGCATTGTATGTACTTACCCCATTTAGTATAGCAACCCTATAAAGCAAATATTGCCACCACCTATGTTTTACACAAAAGGAAACTGAGGCTAAGGGAGGCTAAGTAGCCTGCTGGTAAGTAGCAGAGCACTCCCTTTAACCATGATACTGTCCTGTGTCATAAATCTAAAACACACACAAGATCGAGGTATGGGAAAGAATAATTTTCTCCAAGGCTAAAAAGCTCTTTACCACAGATTTTCACCTCAAAACCACAATACTTCAGGAAGAGATGAAAAACTAGCTCTTTTCTGAGTCTTCTAATTGTTGAATAAGAAATATGGTGTCGGTAGGCCAGGAAGCTGTCATCACCACTCTTCATTACACTAATTGCTCTTAGATGAAATATGGTTTGTTTCCCCTTTTTATCCTCCTCACATTCATAGCTTTGCTACTTTGGAATGTTCTCTGTTTGGGGGCAAGGAAGGCTTTCTCCTTTTCTCATTACACGGAGGGTACAACTGAAGTCCAGGGCAGGTGACTGTCTCACCTGGATCCCACAGCCAGTGGGATGGCTCAATGTCCCAGTAACTGACCCTATTTGCCCCAATAGCTACCCTTTGCCCCAACAGCTGCCCTCTGCCCCAATAGTTGCCCTTTGCCCCAGCCAGGTCCATCTACTCGCTGTTGCTATACAGGCGGTTCACACTCAAACCTTTGCATTTTCCCCCACAACTTCTTCCCATCCCAGCACAGCCTCTTCCCGTGCCTTTCTGAATACATCTACCCCTGCACAATCACTCTAGCTCCTCTTAATCTCTCAACCTTTTACTCTCCCTGCCCTGCGCTTCATCAAAGCTTGACATCAGTGTTGCACTTTGCTTCCAGATTATGCATGTGGATTGCACTTGACTGTGGTAGTAGATACCTGCCCACTCGTGCCTGAATCACCTACTTTGGAGATATTCCCGTAGTACACAATGTAATTCCGCGGCCACAGGAGAAATGCTTCATGATTAAAATCTCCATAGTCAGTATGCTAAAGGCATCCCTTTTCTGCCTGTTTTCAGGCAGAGATGCTAACTTCTACATCTAATGATACACTGCGGACTCAGTGCACACACTGGAAACCCCCACTTCTCTCAGCCTCACCTCTTACTCCAGCTGCCTCTGCAGTAGCCAGCCCTGCACAGGCTTCCCCCAGCTTCCTTCTGGGGCAATCTGACAGCACCTCACCTCTAGCCGTGCCATGCACCTGTTGCTACTGGCCCCTGGGCCTCTTAGATGCCAAGGCCTGGGACCATGCTTAAAGCTCACCACTGCCAAGGAAATGTGCAGAGGAGTTAATAATCCTAGGATCACCTTAGCCAGCAGGAATGAGGAGCCTGTAGATAAACGCTTTCTTCTTTTCCTCAGGAAAGACCTCCAGGTCTTCTGAGGCCCTACAGGACTGAACACATGTTGCTACTGCAATGGCCAAGGCAATGGCTTTCCCTTCTACCCTATTTCACTCTGGTCTTCAATCTCATTTCCCGGCAGCGATCTCATCCCAGGTTCTGCTTTCTGGGGAACCAGGCTAAAACAGTGTATTAGTCTGGCTGAGTTGCCATAAGAACATATCATAGATTGGGTGGTTTAAACAAGAGAAATTTATTTTTCACAGCTGTGGAGGCTAGAAATGGAAGGTCAAGGTCCAAAGTTTCAATCTTTGATGAGGACTCTCTTCTTGGCTTGCATATCGTCACCTTGCTATGCTCTTATGTGGCCTTTCCTTGACGACTGCAAGTGGAGAGATCTCTCCCTCTTCTTCCAAGGCCACTGATCCCGTCTGGGACCTCATCCTTAAGACGTCATTAAATGTGATTAACTCCTGAAAGCTCTCTCTCCAAATACAATCACACTAGGTTTGGGCTTCAATGTATGAACTGGGGAAGGCGGATGCAATGTAGACTATAGCAGACACTGTTACTCATAAATGTTAATTTGATCTTGGCCAATAAGGCTGAGAAAAGTCCCCCAAGATTCCACCACCTTCCTTTTTTTAATTTATTTATTATTATTATTTTTCTTTAAGCTCCCTTCTCCCTCTAATGTTTTAGTGATTAAGGCCAAGGTCCTATTTAGGAAAGGTCTTATGTTAGCTTGTTCTCATGAATATTAAATGTTCCTAGTGTTCTGCTGGTTATTTGAAAGACAACAGCTAGAAAAACTACATTCTAATTTTTTCCTACTAACTAGTTTAGGGAGCAACTTTTGCTATGTTAAGGAGTGGCCTAGAGCAAATAATTTTGCCTTTCGAGATGGCTTTTCTTGGCTGTAAAGTGGAACAACTGCTATGAAGTGGGATAACCCAGCTATTTTGCTGGGTGAAGGGGATCCAAGGAGATGGAAAGTGGGGGATGGCATTTAAGAAAAGGAGATCAACAATGGAAGAACCTTGGGGTACTTGGAGGAAGGACCCGGGTACACCCCACGGGTCTCCATGGTCCTCACTCCGGAGGAGGGGAGGTCCAGAGAACTCACAGAGCGTCTGGGTTCACGGAGCAGCTCAGTTTACTCCCAAATTGCTTGCAGTGTTTTCCAGAATCCGGGTGGTTTGCAAACCCAGATGTCAGACTTCCTGTCCCGGAGATTCTCAACTTGCTCCCCCCGGCCCCGCCACCCCAGCCGCTATTCGGCCTCCCCCGGGAAGAAGAGAAGGGGCTGGAAGCAGGAGGAGCCTGCACGGGACGGCCTCACCCCTCCTCCGTCCCCACCCCAAAGGCAGGAATTTCTGGGACGGGCCGGCGGTCCACGGCCTCCTCCCCCTCCCCCTCCTCCTCCTCCTCCTCCTCCTCCGCGTGCGAGCCCCAGGGAGCAGGGCGGGGAAAACCTCCGCGACTTCCCCGCCCGCAGCGCGGAGCCCCGAGTGTCCGCCAGCGGCGCGGGGACCACGGAGCCGGTCGCGGGAGGCCGGGGCGGCGGCGGCCGAGGCGTGGGGCGCGAGGCGCGGGGGGTGCGGGGCCCCTGCGACCCCCCGGGCCGGCGAGCCCAGTGGTTAGCGATGCTGTGGCTGCGGCTGCTGCTGCTGCTGGGGGCGCCGCGGAGCCTCGCCCGGGGCGCGGTGGCCGCGCTCAGCCCCGAGCCGCTGCTCCGGTGGCAGGGTGAGTGTCCCCCGGGCCCAAGGGGCCGGATCCGCGCAGCGGGGGCGGGGGGGCCGCGGTGGGGAGGACGCCGAGGAGGCCGTGCGCACCCGCCGTGCTTTCGGGGAGGCGGCCGTGCTTTCGGGGAGGCCGCTGTCGGGGGCGCCGAGGAGGCCGTGCGCACCCGCCGCTCCTGCGCCCGCCGGGCCTTGCGCCCCGCACCCGCACCCCGCACCCCCGGCACCCCGCACCCCACACCCCACACCCCGCACCCGCACCCGGCACCCCGCACCCCACACCCCCCACCCGCGGCACCCCGCTCCCCGCACCCGCACCCCCAGCACCCCGCACCCCCAGCACCCCGCACCCCGCACCCCGCATCCGCATCCCGCACCCGCACCCCCCACCCACACCCACACCCGGCACCCCGCACCCGCACCCGCACCCGCACCCGCACCCCGCACCCGGCACCCCCGGCACCCCGCACCCGGCACCCCACACCCCGCACCCGCGGCACCCCGCACCCCACACCCGCACCCCGCACCCCCAGCACCCCGCATCCGCATCCCGCACCCGCACCCCCCACCCACACCCAGCACCCCGCACCCGCACCCGGCACCCCGCACCCACACCCCGCACCCGCACCCCGCACCCGCACCCCGCACCCCACACCCGGCACCCTGCACCCCCACCCCGCACCCGCACCCCGCACCCAGCACCCCGCACCCGCAACCCGCACCCGCACCCGGCACCCCGCATCCGCACCCGCACCCAACTTGGGGCACCCTGCGAGAGGCTGCCGGGCGCAGACTGGGCGACGCTCAAAATGTAGTCTCCGGAGACCTGTGGATGGGGAAGACCGCCCTGGGAGGGTGACTGGTCCTCCGTGCCAGCTGGAGCAGGTGCGGCTCTAGCTCCCCTGGGGCTGACCCCGAGAGCTGGGTCTGTGACCAGGCTGAAAGGAGGTGGTCTGCAGGGCGTCTGGCAGCCTGGGAGCCAGGTTCCTAACCCCGCCCCGCAGCACAGGTGCCCGCAGAGATCATCCCCCCAGGGCCAACCAGCACCCAGTAGGCATGGGACGCCCAGAAGATGTGTCAGGAGTCAGAGGAGAGGCTGTCCTGCCGGGGCCCACAGGGGACAACCTGGCATGGGTGCCCCTGAGGCACAGAGGCGGGGGCCCGGAGGGAAGGACCCTCTGTGGAAGGAGGGGGGGGGCGGCGGGTAAATGAACCAGAAGGAGCCTCCAGGCAGCTCCTGTGCTGTCTGCCTTGGAGGATGAGTTTGGAAAGAAGTGAAACAAGGTGTGACCAACGCCTTCATTTTTGTTCTACTTCTCAACATACTGTGCGCTCATTTTTGAGGCAATCTTTTCTGGACTAGATTCTCTACCCCCCCCCCCAGGCCTTATCAGGGACAGGTTGAGTAATTCTTATTCTAAAATGGCCAAAGATGAGAGACCCTCAACCTTCATGGTAAACTCAATAGAAATGGTCCTGTATGATCCATCTCCCCCAAGGGTTTACCACACAGTGCTTGTTCCTTTACATTTTCAAGTGCACCTGAGTGCTAGGGATCTAGAACGGGCCGCAACCCTGGGACCGAAGCTGGACTCGGCCACACAGAGAAAAATGTGCTGGTGATCCTCTGAGCCAGGGTTAGCACTAATGAGCTAATCCCTACTATATGTAGCAGACCCAAATCCTGGCCGGAGATAATTTCTAATCAGTGCCTTCTCCTCAGTGGTCAAGGACGCTCTGAAGTTAAAACCGTCTGCTACTTCCCGTACATTCCAAGTGACAGTTTGCAAATCTGAAAACCCGACATAGTTAGCAGAGAGATAGGAAATGCTGTTACTAGTGTTCACTGAACGTGCACGCTGTGTGCATCGGAAACTGTGTGACGTTGACTGTGCCAATCCTTGCACACATTCCCTGACTTCCACCATCCCCATCGGTAGAATTTTTTTGTTGTTTTTTTGTTTTTTGTTTTTCCCCCATCGGTAAAATTTTAAGTATGATCTAGATGGCTTAGAAGTCAAGTGTTTCCTGTCTATACAAAGATGGAAAAAAGCAGATCTTAGCATTGGAAGGGACTTGAGACATTGTCTGCTCCAGACATCCGTCTTTGAAACATGGAAGCTGAGGTACAGCTTTTACACAGGTTTCTGACCATGTGTTGGGGGTGCCTCGGTTTACTGCTGTATGCCACATGTGCGCCAAACCACGCTGACTTATTTTTAGCCATGGTTGGTCTCCACCGAGCAGCTAGATGACATCTGCACGCATCTCAGCTTGATATTCACTAATAAGGGATATGTAATAATTCAAGTCAGATTGTACATATAGCACTTTTTCATCTGAGTTGTTTCATATGTATTGTTGATTTGATATATATTATAAACATCCCAGTCTTGGGAGGCAGAGGATGGATGCTGTCATGGGGACTTCTCATTTATCAATAATTTTGTGTTCAAAAATCTGTAGATACAGTGTCGTCTAATAGTTAAGTTCATGGTCTCTGAGCCAGACTGTGTGGGTCCAGATCTTGTCTCTACCGGCTATGTCACCTTGGACAAGTTACTTCGCCTCTCTGTGCCTCAGTTTCCTCATATATAAGAATGGAGGGAATAATAGTACTTACTCAAGTGTTGTCCTTTTGTTTCAATATCACCACAACACCATCTTCCTCTGGCCAGTCCAGACCATTGTGACAGGTTGATAGACCTTTAACAATCACATACTGCCCTGTGCACCGCACTGTACTGCATGTCTGCCGTGTGCCTCCTACCTCTAGTTGGCTATCATACATGCCTCACGGTGATTCTGGAATCTGAGCTCTTCTAGCAAGTGCTGCAACTCTGTAACTTCACTCACTCAAGTACCCCCAACACTGGGAGGGCAGGTGGGAGGATGAAGATGGGAGTGGGCTCCGGGGAAAGGTGGACATAGTTTCTGTAGAGGTTGCTAAAGGAAATGAATGGGAATAAAAGGGAATAAAAGAATTTTAAAGCTATATTGAGAGCTGAAAATGATGTGAAATGGCCTCAACCTACCCCAAAATAGGAGACTTTCCTCAGCAGCACTTATCTTCCCAGGGGCAGGACTGGAGGGAGCCCATGGCTGTGTTAGTCCTTATGGACAGTCAGGGTAGGCTTTTCTGAATGATCAAAGGGAAGTGAGGGTGCTGATGCGCATGACCATGGGGGCCTGTCTAGAAGAAGACAGTGAACTGGGGTAGAGGGGTAGGGTCATCTCTTGAAATCCTGTGTCGACAGGAAGAGGGGTGAGGGGCTGAAGACCTCTGCTGTGTATTCACTATCTGTTGAGCACTATGTGCCTTGTCTCTCTTCATAGTTTGGATTCACCCACAAGCAATCTCTGAGACATGTACTTATTTCAATGCAAGTAGTTTATTTGGGAGGTGATTCTAGAAGACACGATGAAGGAATAAGGAAATGAGACCAAGAAGGGGCTCAATTTCACAGGTGCCCTTCTCAGTGACTGTGGAAAATGCTGTGGATCCACTGAGGGGCAGGAAACAGAGGAATTCATCTACCAACCCCCATTCCTCACTGATGGAGGGTTCCTCCTGGGGCACTAGTCTCCCGGTCTCTGGCCTTCATGAGCGCTGTCAGGCAAGGAGACACAGAGTCAGTCACAAAATATGAGCACTGTCTCGGGCAAATGACCTCCAGGGTAGGCAGTGCGGGTAGGAACTAATAGAATCTGCTACTCACTCTCAGATTTTGGGGGGGGGTGTAAAAATATGAGTAGGATATGTCCTCAAGAGGCTGAGAGCAGAGACAGATACAGAAACACAAAAATTACAAAATGGTGCAGTAGATGTTAAGATAACAAGGTATGAGCAAAGTTTTTTTTTTTTTTTTAAGATGAGCAAAGTTCTAAAGGCATACTGAGAAGGGACTGGCCTGAGGGGCTGCACACTCAAAAACGCATTTATTTTCCCAAAAGATAAGTAGGTAGTCGCCACATGGGAAAAAGGAGATGGAGGATCCTGGGGGAAAGCATAGAATGTGTGCCAAGGCACAGAATCATGTGTTTCGGCGATAGGCTGAAAGTTCTAGTCTGAGCTCTTTCGGATGGAAGAAAGAGGACCCACTGAAGGTCACACGGGCAAACATGAGGCTGGATATAAGGACACTAGGATCTCAAGGGGGACCCAAGGGCAGGCTCTCCTGTGCAACCAGGCCTCCTGAGAACTGACAACTGGCTGAAATAAAACAGAAATAAAACTACTTTCTCTGTTTGCTGCTCTCAGGGGCTGCTTGCTGGTCCCTGTTTGGTACACTTTTTGTGGACTGGTTTCTTCTGCTTCAACCTACAAGACCTTTCATGTGTAGCTCCCAGAGCTTCTGTGGGTAGAGTTGCTCAATCTTCTAGGAGAGGAATCTGGCCACACTTGTCATAGCATGCTGGCCAGTCCCTGCACTCTCCCCTGAATCAGAAGCCTTCCCATAGCTAGTAGGCTGTGAGAGTGGTATGAGGTGCACGCAGGGATCTGCTCCCTCAGGGACTGTGATGGAGGAGATCCCCAGGACAGGGTTGTGGCAGGAGAAGTAGTTGTGACAGGACAAGCAGTTGTGACAGATCTATATTTGGATGCAGGCAAGAGATGAGGGAATGAAGAATTTGGTCAGAGGCACTCTGCTTATGGAAATAAATTCTGGTTGCGTGAATTGGGTACTGCCGAGAGGAGTCTGATGGGTTTGGACAAAAGGGAACCAGATCACACTTTTAAGCTTAAGAATGCCAGGGTCAGTTTGGGACTTGAAGAGGGTAATTCTGGAAGGCAGCAAAGAGACCATGTGAGAGGTTAAAGTGACTGCCCATGAAGAAAGACATTGATGACCTGAGCTAAGTCAGTCACAGCAGGAATACTGAGAAGCAGAAAGTGTAGATTCCAGAAATATGGGTTAAAAAAGAAGAGAATTAAAAATAATAAACTTAGTGAAGGACACGGAAGAAATGACAGAACAGGAGGAGCAGTGGTTATTCAATGGA